CTTTTAGAAAACATTTTTAGAATATTGTCAGGAAGCAGGTTATTTATTGCTTTATATATAATTTGTGCAGTGAGAAAATGAACCAGATCTGTGAATTTTAGAATTTTTGATTTTAAGAATAGTGGATTTGTATGATCTCTGTATGATCACTTTGTTTTTTACATTTTAATGTTGTATTTAAGGTAAATAAACACAACTATTGATGTGTTAATGATAATATTTCTAATACTTGCAGCTAAACAAATGTTTGAAATGAGTTTTCGTACAGCTCATTACTTTTAAGCAGGTTTTTTAACTTCAATGAGAAGCGTCATTGACGGTAATATTTTTTTTCTGCTCTAGTATCTGTTTGAATTTGTCTTGAAATAGATGAGCTGCGACCCTCCCATCCTTTAAAGTCATCAGGAAGTTGGGTTTTTTTAACAGAGAACTGTGAAAAGTGCCTCACTTCTTTTTGAAAAGCCTGAGGTGAGGGTCGCAGAGGTGAATCTTGATGCTAAATTTTCAGTAAATATTGAAGGAACTGATTAAATAATAAGCACCAGTTTCTTTTTGTTTTTTATTGTGAAACACAGGTGGACTAACTCTGAAGTCAGGAGCTTGAAGCCTCAGCATGATGAGCCGTCCACAGAAATACATAGAAGGTAAGAACATTAATGTGGTGGTAAATCAACAGGGAGGAGAAAAAGCTACACTTTTTGTGAACAATGCTCTTTTCATAGAACGTAACAGCTACTGAAATTAAACAATACTCTTATAGTTAAAATATCTCAAGCAGGGCTTTGTCACATGAAAATATGAAAAACCTTATGAAGAAATTTATGAAGAAAGAAATTAGTCAGCCGTTTTGCTGTCTAATATACAGTGTGTCATGTTTCCCATTGGTCTAATCCAGCTGTGGTTCTCACCTGTTTTAAACTTATATAGTAGACAAACAGTGAAATTATATTAAGCGGTGAAATATCTTTACATCTGTCCTCAACTGCACTAGAGTTTGAACTATTTATTAAACGTTTATGTACTTGTGTGTTCACTTTCTGTCTCCTCTGAATCAGGTGAAGCTCTTCACTCTCAACATGCAAAATCAAACAATGCGTTAAAGCTCAGAGTGGCCGTGCTGGTTGTCTGTGTTCTCCTGGTATCGGCACTCGTGGTAACCTATCTCTGTGAGTTTGTCGTTTTGTATATATGTCTTTACTTAAATAAGCGTCTGATTTATCATAAATTAAATGAGAATCAGAAAGTTTATATTAAAAATTTTAAAAGAAACTCAACTTATGACCTTTTAATTCATCTGCATCATATGAAATACTTATATTTTAAAGTTCTAACAGGCTTCAGAACAAATCTGTCCACTACTTTAACTAAATATAAAAAGAATTTTTGAAAGTATTTTAGCTCTTAACAAAGGTCAGTGAGCTATATTATCACCTGCTTTCCTATAACACTCAGTGTCGAGTCCTTGCTTCTGTCTTATGCAACACATGCAGTCAGTTTATAGCAGTCAATTATTGATTTATTATGGTTAAGAAAACCTGATATAAATTCATAACATGTCATAATTTGAGTAATGACATAATAAATAATTGGATGAATGGCAAAGTCATATCTATATATTAGTTGATTACTTGCAGATTAATTATGATTTTATGATTTTATTATGATTTTTAATGAAATTATATTCAATTAAAAAGAAAGCATTTAAAAGCATTGTTTTACTTTTCAGTTAAATCATAAAACACTTTATAAGTGGTCGCGCTATGCATTCATTTCACAATGACATCAGAAAGGTTCTGGTAACGAAGATCTTCTCATTGGCTATAGACTCTACAGATACAAATGCAAATACACTTCATAGAGATTAAGTGAAACCAAAAATATTACTATTTTAATTTTTTCTTATTTTTTTTTTAATAAGTGTTTGAGCTTTTGAAAACCAGGGAAATGCTCAGAAATCTTGAACTGAAGCAGAAAACCATAAAAGCCGATGTCACAGGTAAGAATATAAGACTCCAGTAATCTAATTTTATACTAAACTCTTTCATTTAATCACGTAACACATATAATATTATTAAATTTTGCTTATTGTTTTTTCCTAAGATTTTGAGCAGGAAACATTTTCATACTTGTTATTGATCCTGATGAATAATTGCTATTCTTTTTTTTAATCCTAATCTTTCTCTTTGTATTGTTTTTTTAGAGAGACTGCCTGAAATCAAACCATGTAGTACAGTGCACATGGTTGAGAGCCTGAAGTAAAAATTAGTACGTTATGAATTGCCAAAAGAGATTTAATAAGCAAATAAATAAAAATATGAAATTATATATAATATATAAAAATATATAGCTACAGGACCCAAGGAGCAGCATGCTGAAAACTTAATGAAAATCAATTATTTTTTTTATTTCTTTTTCAAAACAGTAACACAGCCGTGCAACATAATACAGCCAACAACCCCACAACCTACTGAAATAACCACCAGTAAGTTTTAGATTTTGTTTTGTTTTTGACACATTGTTTTATCCTCTGATTAAGGAAAGGGGATAAAAGGAGAATTGTCTTGCAGCCAAATAAAAAATAGATGATCTTGCTGAAATTTTAACAAAAATGTTTTTATCTCTTATCCATACCAGTAACACAATCATACACCACGATACCGACTACAACCCCACAACCTTCTGAAATAACTACAAGTAAGTTTTATATTTTGCAACTGAAATGTTTTTGTTAATCCTCCGATTAAAGAAACAATGATGGACTGACAGAATCAGTATGTTAGATTTTAACTGCAGGCCAGTCTCCTAATACATAAAAATGAACATGTTTTCTTCCACACGACTGAAGTCTTTAATGTATTCCCCTCAAAGATGATCCATGTTATGAATGTGAAGATGGCTGGAAGCAACATGGAGAAAATTGCTATTTTTTCTCCACAAGAAAATCATCCTGGAATGCAAGCAGAACTGAATGTAGAACTCAAGGAGGAGACCTGGTTAAAATAGACAGCAGTGAGGAGCAGGTATAAAACATTTCTGCAGGTTCATGATCTCAAACTCATATTTCATCCAAAGATGGGAAGTTTCACAAAGTAATTTAATCAAATTTTCCTGTTTAGAATTTCTTGAGGACAACCATTGAACAAATAAGAAGATATTTCTGGATTGGACTGACAGACTCAGCAGAAGAGGGCAGATGGTTGTGGGTGGATGGCTCACCGCTGAATGAAAGGTTTAATTAAATCCAATTACATTATATTACATACACAAACAGTCAAAAGTTTGGACACACCTTCTCATTTAATGTTTTTTCTTTATTTTCATGACGATTTACATTGTAGATTCTCACTGAAGAGATCAAAACTATGAATGCACACATATGAAATTATGTAGTAAACAAAAAAGTGCAAAATTACTCAAAAAATGTATTATATATTATATTATATGTATCATATATATTTTTTTAAAAATCCCCACTCACCCCTGCGGGCAGTCTATCCTTCAACCTCAGTTCCTCTACCAGAGGCCTGGGAGCTTGAGGGTCATGCCCAGTATCTTAGCTGATCCAAGGACTGCGCTCTTCTGGATCTCCACTTGGAGCCACTTGCCTAGCTTGGGAGTCACTGCACCTTCTCCAGCTCTTCTCTGTGCCCTTAGTACTTCTTAAGCTTATCGTGTTCCTTCTTCCTGATGTTGTTGTCATTTGGAACCGCTACATCTATCACTACGGCCGTCTTCTTCTGCTTGTCTACCACCACATGTCCGGTTGGTTAGCCATCACAATTTTGTCCATTTTGTCCGTCTGTATCTGGAAGGCCCTACATGATTCATTCTCGACCATCCTAGGGGGTGTCTCCCATTTTGACCTTGGAACTTTCCAGCCCTGGTATGGTAGACCCCAGCCTCTATGGATCTTGTGCTCAGAGCTTGTTCCTGTGCTGCTGTGAATAGTGCCTCTGTGCTGTCTTTCAGTCCAGCTTTATCCAGCCACTAGTAGGATTTCTGGATATCAGCCACCTCCTCTATCCGCCAGTGACAGTGAGGAGGTAGGAGAAAAGAGAGGAGGGCAGAGAGACAGGGGGGGAAACACAAACAGTGGGAAAGAAGAGACACGTTTCATGACATGCAGTAGTGGCATATTAAAAAATTGAACAAATTCTGAAAATATTTTTAGTCATTTTCACAATCAAAGTTAACAGCTTTCACTGTTGCTGTTCTTTCTGTTCTTAATCGATTAGGTTGACATTCTGGTTCTTTCATGAGCCAGATGATTGGACTGAGGAAGATTCTGATGGAGAGGACTGTGCGAGGATGGGGCCAACGTATTGGTTTGATAAATCATGCAAAGCACGTGAAAGAAGTATTTGTGAGAAACCTGCTGCTGCTGTGTGTCCTCACTTCAGTTCAGGAACAACAGTGAGAGTAGAGGACACAATGAGCTATTTTTCTAAAGCTAATGCTGCAAACATTTAAAGTTTCCATTAAGAAATGTTTAATGAAAAAACTGTATCTATCTATATCTATCTATCTATACTGTTTGCAAACAAATAAATGTGAAATACTTTTTTGTGCCTGATCTTCTTATTCATGTATTATGGGTTAAAGCACCAATGATACCTGTGAATTCCTTATTTTTTTCTCTTTATTCATAATCTTTAAGAATTTACAAAAACAATTTCCTGGAAAATGTGTGAAGAATAAAAAGACCTCAGTCTGTTTTTCTGTGCCGCTTAAATAGTTACAGGGATGTTATTATACCTTTACCTGCTGCATGATCTTTTGAAACTGTAGATATTTTGTGTATAAATAATAAAGAAAAGTACTACACCTAAAGACAAATGAAAAAATTGAGTAAAACAGAAACACAAATAGAGGGTGCTGCATGTCGACATCAAAAAATTTGCCTGTCAAAAAATTTAACTGCATAGCGAGATTTCAATATTATTCAAAATAAGTAGTTTTAAGTGAATCCAATTACAATGCAACTCATTTTAAAGCATGCAGTTTACATTAAAGATAAAGTCTTCTATTTATCCTTTAAAATTTTGCAGAAAACTTATTCCATTGAGCAAGTAGTAATTAACAATTGAGAGTTAACAGCATAGGCGGCTCAAAGTACAACAGCTTCACGCACAGCTTAATAGTGGTCGTAGTAAGCAAGCATGTCAAACATGTAGGAGGAAGTGTACAGACTTGTACAGAGCGAGAGGCACCCTGAACCAAAATGGCTAGCACAGCATTCTGCGTCATGCAATACCCTCTGGTATGCACCTAGTTGATCGGGGGCTTATCCTACAGCAAGATAATGACCCAAAACATAAGTCCAAGCTATGCCAGAACCAGATGTTAAGCTTGAAAACATGGAGTGGCCAGCAAAGTCTCCAGACTTAAACCCCATCGAGCTGGTTTGGGATGAACTGGACAGAAGAGTAAAAGCAAAGCAACCTACAAGTGCCACACATTTATGGGAACTTCTGCAACAGATATGCGAAGAACTTTCTGAAGAATATTTGATTTCTATTGTAGAAAGAATGCCACGGGTGTTAGGCTCAACGAACGGACTCTATGGCAGAGCACACAGAAACGCAGGGAATGCAGAAAGTGCTCTTTATTTACAATGTCTGGATTATTTACACAGGGTGGGAGATTGTGTACAGTGATAAATAAACAAGAGGGAAACCAGGGAAGGGGGCTGACACGCACTTGGAGTGAAAGGGGTAATCGGCGCACGCAGGGTGGATTTGTCACACTGGTAGTACAGCCTCGGGGGAGAACCTCCGGGATGCGAAGGTAAAGATGCGATTTATCTCTGCAGTGATCCCGGAAATATGGCTTCACCAGCAGTTGACAGGCAAGCGGGTGATGGATCTGGCACTCAGGGAGGCGACAATACTCCGACACAAGACATCTGTCGCGCTGCTCCTAAATAACGCTCCATCAAATGATGTATGATGTACCGCCGGTGTGCCAGCATCCCGTGACACACCGCCCCGCCTACCTGTGCTGAAAAAGGAAGCAAATCCATGACACCACACCAGAGAAACCACACCAACTGCTAATAACTGGTGTGCTCAGGTGTATTTGTTTTCAGGGGGGGTTATTGACCCCAATTGCTTATTTGTACTATGCATTTATTTCAGAGTGCAATAAGACATTAAACTGCATTTTCAATTTAAAAAAGAAAAACTGGAAAAATTGGGCGTAGGTAGGACACCCTCTCTTCCTCACTGGCTCCATGTCTCTAAAGATGTTCTACAGTTGTTCACTCTCTCGCACAAAATCACCAAAAAAAAATTTTTAAAAACAACAACAACAACAAAAACCCATATCACACAGACTATTCACTTCCTTATGTAAACCACTGAATCAGGTACTGAGGCAGTGATGTACTGAATGATGCTTCGGCTGTCACAGATCACATAACTGTTTAGTCAAGCCAAGCCTTGTTTTTTCTTTTGTTACATGCCAGAACTTCAGCTTCAAACGGACGATCACTATTGTTTTCAATTTCATGCATACATCTACCCTCATCTATGCACCACTGATATTTAGTATTGTATTTCATACAAAGGATTTGCCTAATTTGAAAACACAATACAGCATCACACCACAACACAGTTTTTACAAACTGTATCAAGACTTACATGATACACTTCTAGAATGTATGTACAGGGATAAATGTGACTGATAGACATTTACACAATTATGCTCAGGTGTTTAGCAATATTTATTAGCTTTCTTTATTTTTATAAAAGGTAATATTTATTGAATCATGTTTGAGACAGTTAGACCAAAGGACAATTATGATTTGGCAGTAAGTTTTTAAAAAAATGAATGTCAAGTCAGTTTTTAAAACAGAACCATGTAGAAAAAAGAAATATAGAACCATTTACATCATTTTAAATGAGAACAATCAAGATTTTGATCTTGTGAGGTAGTGAAACTGCCATGTTACGTTAATAACCTATCTACAGATTGTGAAACAATTTGAGAATAAAGTTCCTCAATGTTAAATTCAGAAGACCGGTAAAGTATATATTATCATTAAAACAAATTGGATAAACTTAAGCAATCTCTGTGCTGAAAGCACAAAGCTGAAAATCAATATTGGATGTCCATGATCTAAATATGACAATGACTATCTAGCTTTTTATCAGTACTCAGTTCAAACGTTTGCATCTCTGATAGGATTGGAAGTGAATTAGTGCCTATGAAATTGGTAGCTAGCACATCTGGACAGGCACCATCAAACCCAAACCAAAGTCACCCATTTCATTCACCATTTCCGTCTAAATATTTCTGCAGCATTAACTTAATTCCAACTTCAGTGAAAACATCCCAGAATTTTTTCCAAATCCCCATTAGAATTTCTCACTAGGTTCTCCCCTATCAGCACCTCCTTCCTTTGTGAATTAAAGCACAATTGCAGAAAAGCGCCACAAGGTGGTGCCCTCTTCATTTTTGTTGTGTTAAGCTGGAGATCCTAAGAGTGTACTACTAAGAGATTAATAGGTTAGCAAGCTATGTTGCTTGACAAATCAGAAGTGACTGTACACTTTCAGCTGAGCCATAGCCTAGAACACAATTACAAGGAGACACATGGGCTTAAATGATGCTATTTTTTTTTTTTTTTTTTTTTTTTTTTTT